ACAAAAAACTCTTACTAGGATTCAGGAATTATTTTTGCAGCTCAATGTCTATTACAGTATACATAAATTAAATTCAAGATACAGATGTATAATTCAGCAATGAACGTTTGGGAAAAAATCTTTTTCATTTTACTACTGTAAAGTAATCTTGCAGTAGATAAAACGCACTAGAAAAGTTCACATACCAAAGAATTGTATGAACTTGGCATGCACCACAATACAGTACAGTAAAAAATTAAATTAAAAAAAGCATCCTCGGCACATTTGGCCAAATTTCATTACAGTATACAGCACTATAGCAGTTTCTTGGTCTCCTGACACAAGAGTCAAGTCAAGTCACCTTTATTTATATAGCGCTGTCCCCAACTAAGCAAGCCAGAGGAACCAAAACTTCATCAGTGACAGAATGGAGAAAAAACCTTCGGAGAAACCAAGCTCAGTCGGGGGCCAGTTCTCCTCTGACCAGACAAAACCAGCAGTTCAATTTCAGGCTGCAGCAAAGTCACATTGTGCAGAGGACTCATCTGGTTCCTAGTAACGCAATATTGTAATGCATTACTTTTAAAAGTAACTTTCCCGAACACTGGTTATGACTATAGTGTGTAGGACAAGACTAGCTATATCTCTAGGCAGTCATTTCTCAGTTCTGCAAAAATGCAGTACACATAAAAATGGTTACAAATAAAATTTGACAGTCACACGCTTGAAGGTGTACAACATGTGCTACAGTTTACTGTACATATAGAATAGTGAAATTTCCATGATCTAATGTACTGGTACTGTACTGTAATTGTATGTGTAAGTATAAAACCCCTGTAGATGATTGGCTCAGCTCGAGCTCTCTCCGTTGTTAGCATGCAGAGATTCTGATTGGTGTGTTATCAGTTTTGCTAATGTTTAACTTACTCATTGTTAAACTTTTTGCGAAATGTGTCTTTGTTTTGAAAACTTAATGGTTTGGGGAAATAAAGTGGCAACTAAAATCAGTTATATTAACAATCGAGAAAACTGCAATACGACTAGATTCTTACCTAACTCTGCTATTGGTTTCCGTGATCGGCATCTTATTGATTTCATGTTATTGTCACGGCTTATATTCATGATGAAAGTGGAGCGAGCGGTCGGAGAATCGGATCACCAAACAATTACGCGATGAATCTCAGACATATCCGGACGGGATTAGATTTCTCAGAGGACTTCTGAGTTACCTGAAATGCAGTAATTATCTGATTCACGAACAAATGTAAAAACAATTAGTTAGTTTGTGGTTTTGACTCAAAAAAGATCTGGTTCATAAGAGTCATTTGTTAATGAAGCCGACTACACTGGCGTCTGCGTGCGCGTGCAACCAGCATGCACCGTTTATTAAAAGACGTGTTTTTGCCATTATTTTGCGTTACTCTGTCATCGCCGCGGCTGAAAAGTAGCTCATGAAACACTGCTTACATTTATATTTTATTCTGTGATAATGCAGTTGCCCCTCCGCTAGATCCGCCCCTGCGTTGAGGAACAGTGAAAGTAAAGCTTCTGGAAACAAACGCTCCTCAAAAGATCCTGAGGATCAGATTTGAGACTCTAAAACATGATTGATGGAGAATCAAGTAAAGCTGAGCTGCTTCAGTCCAGTACGTGTTCATCTGGAGATATTACTAACAGTATCAATCATCCTCATACATTAAGAAGCACACAGTTTTCGTTTGCTCAGTTTGCAGTGCTGGTGACAGGACGGAGATGAGAGGTCAGAGCACCGTTAACCTTTGACCTTTACACTTCAGAGGTCAGAGTGATGACAAACCCGTCACTAGACACCGATCAGAGACACAGAGAGAGATTGTGTGCGGTTCACACGAGTCTTCAGCCTCTGATTGACTGTAATTATTCCTCTCTTCATCTTCTGCTTTACCTGATAATTATTGTCCCTCATGTGATTATTTACTTATTATCTCTCTCTCTCTTCCACACTTATGCTCTCTTGTTTGTCACAAGCATCTGATGTGCTTTTTTTGTTCTGTGATTTTAACACAAGCTTTAACGAGAAGCCATCTGAGGATCACAACAAATACACTCATAGATACAGGATTAGCTTAAGAAAAAAATGTTTCTAAGAATGTTTTGCTAACATCCCCATTAAGTGATGAAGGCATTGTTTCTGTTGCAAACGTTAAAGTAACATTCCATTTGATAATTTTGCAAACGTTATGGGAACGTTACTATTAAATGTAGTATACGTATGTGTATGATAGAACTACATCTCCCGTCATCCTCTGCGCATGCGTCATGCTCGATGGGCGGAGCCTCGGCGAGCGTCGGTCTGCGGGAGGAGCTCCACAGAACAAACCGACACACAACCGGAGCGGAAAATGTGAACGGGAGATTCGGGATTGGGAATAACGACAGAAAACCGTCCCAAGAGTGTTTCTCTGTGGATGAGATGCGATATCTGAGAGGACGGGCGCGCTGGAGGTGAGGTGTTTATTAGATATGTACCGCGTTCAGCTGAAGTTCCTCTCAGAGTCACCGCGTCTACGCTGAGTGACGCGACGCGACAAACTAGAACGCTCCCG